ATCAATGGCTAAGCCATCTGTATCCACCTTAAACACCAACAGTGTCCAGTGAAAGGGGATCCACCTTAAATAGCAAATCTATCCCTGGAAAGAGAGCTACCTCTGTCCCCCAAGATCCCCACCTCTTTGTGGGAAGGGAGGGAGGCAGGCAGGAAGAGGGACTCTAATAAACTTAGCCAAAGTGTGTTTATGTTACATTACTAAAGACCAAGTGATTCCATTGAAATCCTCCGAGTCTTTTATCTTGGTGCCACATCCTGGTTTCCATCCTAGAGCATGCATTGGAATGTTTGCCTTCACCAACGCTGTTGCTACTGAAATCAGAAATTTTCATTTTATTCCCTTTGGTTTTTTGGCACTGTAAGCACTAGAAGAAATATAAAACCACAGGCTATGTATATAAATACACAGGTTTTTTTTTGCTTGTTTGTTGTTTGTTTTTAATACTGTGTACTCAACCCACGGTCCCATGCATGCTGGGCAAATTCCCTACCATTTTAATTATACCCCACCCCCTGATTTTTTTTTTAATTTTGAGACAGAGTCTCATTGGCTTGCCTAGACTGGCCTTTGAACTCACTCTGTAACCCAGGCCAGGCTTGAGTTTGCCACCTCCCTCCCTGCCCCAGCCTTCCAAACAGCTGGAGAGAATGCCCTGTAGCTGCAGGCCCAGCTCATCTTGAACTATGAATCACAGCTGACACAGCCTAGCATGATCCAGTCCTTCTGGCTACAAGCAACCGAGCCCATGGAGTAAGAGCGTAGGGGTCTCCTATGCTGTGGTGAACAACCCAGTCGGGGCCATGCTAGTGGGTGAGAATATGGAGTCCAGGGCTGGTTGCTTAGAAGAGATTTTCAGTCCTATGGACATTTCAGAAAAGCCTCTTCATTTTTATATATGGCTCTCAGCCTCTTTAAAATGTTTAGACTTGGACATCTACAAGTCTCGCTTAGTCTTTACTGTGTCTCACATTTCGTGGGATTAGCTCATTCTCCATTCTGTTTCCTCACTGGGAGGATAAAATGCTGGGTTCCCTTCAGTGCAGGTATTTGAAATGACATATTTATGGAAATTACCGCCCACTTTTGAAATTCAGGGCATGGCTGTGAAAGCTGAGTCCAGTCCTGACAGGACTCTGTTTACTACAATCCTAGCACAGCCAGAGCAGCTGTTCCAAGGAAGTTCATGCCTGGTTCATGTGAGGAGCAGAGTACGCACTGACTGCTCTGGAGAGCTGTTGTTACTTGTGGGTAAGACCAGAAGCACACACGTCAGGCCATCCTAAAGATGAGCGTGGATGAAGGCCATGAATGTGTCAACCTTTCTAGAAGTCAGTTTATTGGCATGAATTAAACACTAACAAAATCATTTGGAAATACAATTTCCATTAAACTTAATAATTACAATCCTGAGAATTTATCCTAAAGAAATGGACGGAAATACACAGAGGTTGTCTGTGAAGATATTTATTCCCGAGAGATGTTTTGCAGGAAAAATACTAACAAGGAACTATAATCATGATGCCATAAACCAAACAGTGCCCCATTCTCGGTATAATTCCACTTCAGTAAGCAAACAAAGGCATTTAAGTGCATGGAAAGAAGTCGGGCATCGATGCCCCAGAATCACAAGGGGCACCTTGTGTCTAAGTGAAGAGATTGTGAGAGATACATGCGGGGGCTCACAAGCCCTCACACCTGAGCTTTCTTACACGTTTACAAAGGCAGATGCATTAATTTCAATGTATACTGTCTTCTCGTGGATGCCATGGTTCTGTATCAGCTTACGGGGGACACTGAGGAGTGTGAGCGTGCTTTCCCACTAGGGATTTATCATGGCAAGCCTTAGAGTCTTCTCAAGCCAACCCCTCCCTGTCTGCGGGCCCTTGGCACTACCTCTCCTCCTTTTCCCCAGCCAGGGCTTCTGTGTGCCAGCGAAGTACGAACTCAAGATTGATGTCCTCAGATCTAACCTGTAAAGACCATAGTGGATTTATCTGCTAGGACCCATACTACCCTAATGAATTCATTCCAAGTTCTCATGAATTATGAAAATACTGTAATTATAGTTGATTCTGTTCCAAAGGGCTAATTAGTTTAAGGAAGCAAATGAGTATAAGAGTGCCTTTTGATTTCACATTTTACCATTTAACTACTTAGAAGTGCACTTAGTGTTTGAGAAGAAAAAAGGGAAAAGTTCATGAATTAGTTCAACCAGTGTGTATTGATTGTCCGCTCTATAGGAAGACCCCCTGGTCCTGGCACACAGCAGTGAGCATTGTAGATGGAGTTCTTGGCCTCACAAAGACTGTATGTGTATGGAGGGGTGTAAAATATGAAGTTGTAAACAGACACACTTTCTAAATTTTGACAACCGTTAAAATTTTATAAAAAATAACATAAAGTAATATGACATATTAACCAGTGTAGATGGAGTTTCTTTAAAAAAAAAAACCATGGATACTTATAATAATTACAAACTGTTTGGCCAATGGCTCAGGCTTCTTATTGGCTAGCTCTCTTAATTATCAACCCATTTCCATTAATCTAAGTATTTCTGCATGGTCTTACCATGGTCTTACCAGAGAATGTCCGAACCTGTTACTCCTTCAGTAGCTACATGGTGTCTCTCTCAAGGCCTCTCTCTGTCCTCTCCCTAGCATTCTCCTCATCTGGTAGTCCCACCTATACTTTCTGCCTGGCTACTTGTCAATCAGTGTTTTATTCTTCAACCAATAAGAGAAGCATATATACAGAAGGACATCCCCCATCAGATCAGGGATAGGGAGGGGCATCATTTTTCCTTCTGTCCTTTAGATTTGTGCTGAGGATTGCTCCCATGGTATCACACATGTTAAGCACATGCTCTACCACTGAGTAACAGTCCCTTCCACAGCAAGGACACTAATAGGAGAAGTCATCTCTGAGAGAACGGAACTTACCTGAGATGTAAGAGATAAATAACAGACAAACCTTGTGGGCTTGCAATTTGTAGGTGAGGAGAATGGTTAGTATGGGCTATTTGTGAGGAGAATGGTTAGTGTGGGCTATTTGTGAGGAGAATGGTTAGTGTGGGCTATTTGTGAGGAGAATGGTTAGTATGGGCTATTTGTGAGGAGAATGGTTAGTATGGGCTATTTGTGAGGAGAATGGTTAGTATGGGCTATTTGTGAGGAGAATGGTTAGTATGGGCTATTTGTGAGGAGAATGGTTAGTATGGGCTATTTGTGAGGAAAATGGTTAGTATGGGCTATTTGTGAGGAGAATGGTTAGTATGGGCTATTTGTGAGGAGAATGGTTAGTATGGGCTATTTGTGAGGAAAATGGTTAGTATGGGCTATTTGTGAGGAGAATGGTTAGTATGGGCTATTTGTGAGGAAAATGGTTAGTATGGGCTATTTGCTCACCTGCCTGGGGACAGGGTCTGGCAATGCTGGCCTAACCTAGAGCTCCTGAGATCAGGCCTCTGCCATCCCAACATGGTCGGAGCTATAGACCCAGCTGCAGAGTTAGAGTCTCACATTTGAACTCGTCTTGTTCAAAAGAAGAATTGAAAGCAATTACTTAGAACTTAGCCAATGAGGGAATCCTGGAAGATGAACGTCACTGAAGACATGTCGTGAAAAGCCCCGCAGAGCATGGCAAGGACTCTGACCTCGTTCATGACTGTTGGAGGCTCCCTGTAGGCAGATGACAGGTTAATTTTAACCTTTGAGTAATTATCTTGCTTGCACCAGTGCAAGGGTGGAGAGTGTAGACTCGGGAGGCTGAGGAGGAGGCTTCTGCAGCTGAGAACACTGTGCCCAGTGTGGAGACCCCCACAGGGACAGCATGGGTTAGCAGCAGGCTCAGCAAGCAGAGGAACTTGGGAAGCCCCTCGCTAGCATGATTATGAAGAGTGCAACAACTAGGGACAGTCTTGGAAATGCTGTGTCCTGTGAAGTGATTTGGAGACGGGACGACTCTGGAACACCATCCGACTCCTTTCAGTTGTGCCCCTGGTATCTTATGGGCTCTGTTTGCCTGCAGTGAGTAAAGGTTCCTGCTCTCACCTTGGTGGAAGAACATTCTGGTCCAAGCTCTATAAATGTCTGTCTCAGTGGAGTCTGAGAGGCCGAATAATGAAAATAGAGATCATGTGACTTACAGTCTGAAATAAAAAGCCAGGCATGGTACCATATGTCTAGGCCGTAGCATCCGGGAAGCAATGGCAGAAGAGTTTGGAGTTTGAGGCTGTCTGGCCTAGAATAGTGGTCCCCTTTCCTAAAGTAAGTAAATCTCCAGAATACAGATGTACATGAGTTAGAAGTAAGCTAAGTGTGACCTACTCCATCTCCAACCCTGACCTGGAACTTTATCAAAATGTACCTTTTGCTTACACCGGCCAGACGCTATGCTTTCTAAGCTTGGGGTGGTTGGTGCTGCATGGCCAGGGCCAGCTCCAAACAGTGCAGGGCTTCCCAAAATCAGGATTTGTATCCATTGTCGCAAAAGCTCAGCTACATATACCCACAACGCTGGGTTTCAACATTTACTTTGTTGTAGTAAATAATAAATAAATAAATATTGGTTGAGTGAGCAATAGCACCAGACAATACACCCACAGCTAGATAAAAGAAAGCCAGGGGAAACAGAGGAGAGATCCAGGGCTTGTCCAAAGGGCTGACTTTGGACTTTGCCTCCACCCGCTCCCTGCTGGTCTTGGACAAGGCTCTGCCTGAGGGACCTGTGTTGAATTTCTGTTTCTCGTGGGTAACTTGGGATCCATCGCCCTCATGGTGCCCGTGAACTTCAATTTTGATACATGTGAGGTTGCTTTGCAGGGGACACCCAGCATCACCACTTGGGGGTGGTAACTACAACAACTGCTTCTGTGGGCTTAATCCTGCTACGGGGGTTATTGTTTGAGCTTGGAGCAGAGATGTTGGAATTGCCTGGGGAAAACCTGAAGGAACTGAAGTGTGCTTTCTCTTGTCTCCCTCCCTCTCTGTCTACCTTAGCAATTGAGACACAGAGTACCAGTTCTGAAGAGCTTGTCCCAAGCCCACCATCTCCGCTTCCTCCTCCTCGGGTGTACAAGCCCTGCTTCGTCTGCCAGGACAAGTCATCAGGGTACCACTATGGCGTCAGTGCCTGTGAGGGCTGCAAGGTGAGTACCCCCAATGCCTCACCTCCCCATTTCCCCTTAGCTCTTAAATGCGATCTCCCCCACTCCAGAAACGAGCTGTTTGACAGCTGAAGCATCAACTCCGGCTACCCCTGGAGTTTGGCTGCATCTCAGCGTTTCTGTCACCTGCGTGCATTTCTTCTGTTTAAAGTTCAGAAATGTCTGTAAATGAGTGACCGAGGCCAAACAGTCCCGGGCCTTTAAAATGCACCCCCCCCCCTCCGCCAAATCCTCTCTTGCTAAGAACCTTTTGAAGGAGTCCTAAGCGACATGTCCCTCTTTCTCTTGGGACATGCCATCTGGTGTCTTTGTAGTTCTATTTTATTTTTAAATATGACTGACAGTCCACTGAAACAACTTGCAGCGAGCCAAGGTTGAAATTGGGATTTATCTCCTGGCTGCCTCCTCAGCCCTGTGGCCTTTGAATTACACTTTGATTTTCAGCTTGTACAGACTTGCTACTGTAGATGCATTGTAAATTCAGCAGAGTTGGATTAAAGCGCCTGCCCACAGCACACTGGGGGCTGAACGTGTGTCAGACAGAAGACGTCTGCTTTAAATCATGTTAGATAACCATTATCAAGTCCAAGAGGCATAACTGAGCAAACGGGGTCCTTGTGATCTTAAGGAAGAAACCAAAAGTGACTCACAGGCAGATGCGACTTATCCATAGAAATGTTGCCAAGGAACCACACTGTCTTGGGCCAGCCCTTCCCTAGATATGGCTGCTATCTAGTTCTCTCTATCTGGCTCTTCAGGTCTGGTGTTCCACATGTAGACTGAACAATTCACCTAGATGGTTGGGGGCTGGGTCACTCTCCAGGCTCTGCGGCATCGGGCTTATACATGAACGGTTTCTGTACATGTTGGTCAGGTAGTGTTGTGTAGCGTGTCAATGACAGCTTGATGTCTTCATGACATCACCACCCTCTCCTTAGCTCACACTTCTGTGAAAGAAATACAAGGTGTCCAGAGCAGCGCGCTGGTAGCCAAACCAGTCAGGGGTCAGCCTCGTATCAACAGGTCAGAACACCCTTGACGCCAGCAGCTCCAAGTAGCTGACTCAAGAAGTGGCTGTGGGGTTGTGGGCTGTTGGCTTGTAGTTTGTCTCCTGTGATTAGGAGCAGTATAGGCCCTACTCTCCTCTCCAGTCCTCCCAGGGAGAGTGCTTAATGACACAGAATGAACAAATGTGAAAGGAACTCTCTTTCCTTCTGTCTCTGTCATGGTGGAGGCTGGCACTGGCTAAAACACTTATATTCATGGTTCTGATCTCTAGTGCTCACCTGTAGCTGGATAAACTAAAATATGCCCCAACATTAGAGAAGGCTTCATTTGGAATGTTGGTACATTTTGTCCACTTGTTCTATAATATGAAAACAAATCAGTTTCTAATGTTCATTTGGAAGGCAAATGAAAAGATGCTTTTAATTTATGTACTTAAGTATTTATTGAGACAGAGTCTCACTATATAGCCTAGCATAGCTTGTAACTCACAGCAATCCAAGATGCCTCCATCTCCTGAGTGCCGGGATTATAGACACTAGCTACCCCATCTTCAAAAATATGCTTCTTGATTTCCAAACAATTTTCCATTATCTCAAGCCCAGAAATCTAAAGAAAGTGTGGCAGCTTCCTGTTTGCATGGTGACCAGGAAGGACAGCACCAGACTTGTCCTCCCTCAGGCAGACGCCCAACTGCAGAGTAAGCAGTTTCTCTGTCCCTGCAGCACAAACCCTTCCCATCGCTACTGCTCGGCTAGTTCTCTGACCTCCTGCTTTACTGTGGGATTCTGACTCTCTTTAGGAAAAACCCCAACATAAATAAGCTCCATAAACTGGGTAAGAGGCCCAGAGTCTCAGGATAGGAAACCCTTTCACCAGACCATGATCTAGACCAAGTCACGGAGCTCCCGGTGTGTGTGGAGTTGAACACTGGGTACAGGGGTGGCTGGGCATGGGCTGCCTTTCTCCTGATGGTAGGGGAAAACTTACTCTCATTTGAGCTGACTGACGAAATAGGGTAGAAATCGAGAGAAATGAAAACAATGAGAAGGTAAAACAGTAATGTTCCTAGAAAAGAGAAATAAAATGTCTAAGTATAAAATACACTCTTATTGGTTATTTAAAAACACCAATACAGTCAGTGTCTGAAAGACAAAAAGCAGCATGGTCCTTCCCCATAGAAAATTCTGTTAAAATTCAATGTTTATGTGAATTTATAGATTTTGATTTTACAAAAATAAGGTGTTATAATGCATAGGCAATTAAAAATGGCTTTTTATATCTAATTATATTTTATGGTCAAAATTTACACAACTACATAAATTCTGTGATGATACAGTTAACATAATTGCTGGTAGTTACATTATAAATTACCTAATCGACCCCTATTATATAATAAGGTATTTCTGATTTGTATCTTTTATAAATATTACTTTGTAGTCTTTGGTATACCTATGGATAAGTTAGTAACAATAGACGGTATGTCGGGTGCTTTATATACTTGGTAGGGTGTGTGAGCATGGTATGTGTGGGGTGGCTACTAGGAATCGAGCCTAGGGCCTTGTTCATGTGAGACAAGCATTTTTACTAACTGACAAGATGCCCCTCACCCTTCCTTTCTCTTCTAAAGCTTTTGATACAGCTAGCCAGTATCAGCATATGCTGTTAAATCTATATTGATAGTCAGGTAATGGACTCGTCTCAACATCTCCTATGACATGCCTCTGTTTAATTAGAGGTTTACAGGGAGTCATATATATGTATCAGGGAAGACTCTATTGACCCCTGGTTTGTCTAGCTCCTCTCTGGAGAAGAAGGGTCACTATTCCAAGTAGGGAGTCTCTGCTGTGAAGTAGGAGTCCCAAACAGAATCCAGAGTGTCTTCTCAAGAAGTAACGAAGGGTAGGCATGTGGCTCAGCTAGCGACATGCAATCCTAATACCAGTGAAGCCCTGGATTTCATCTCTCGCACTGTTCAAACTTAGCATGTGGAGGTAGAGGCAGGAGGATCAAAGTCAAAGTTACCCTTGACTACTTAGCAAGTTCAAGTTCAGATTGAGATGCTTGAGACTCTGCCTGCTTCAAAATAAATAAATGAATAGAAGCAGTGCTGGTAGTGGCCTCTGCCTGTCATGGCCATGATGACCTTACCATTATGGGGAGGGGGGGGAACATCCTCCATCTTCCATGGGACCAGGTGGCAGTTTTAACCACCACAGCAGACATATGATGATGGTCAGAACTTAATGAATGGGTGTGGCTCACCTCTGGGGACAGTCAGTGACTGCTATGTTGACACAACATCACCAGGACAACAAAGCCACTAGACACACCCTTGGGATGTCCCCTTTAGGGGACTTCCAATTGAATGACATGTTTTCCAAGACACAAAGAGAACAAAATGTGAAAGTGTGGTTAGTCAAAGGTTTGGCCATATAAAATCATAAAAGAATACTATAAACAAAATGACAATTCAGAGGCGCTTATGACTCCTAGACTCAGCATGTAGGAAGCTGAAGCAGGAGGATCATGAGTTTGAGGCCAGCTATGGGTGCCTGGTGATACCCTGTGTTTTATCTAACATATATATTACATATATATGATTTATGCACATTTTTTGGCCTGAGTAATGTATTATGCTTCCATTATTAGCTTTCTGAGAGTATAGTCTACAGGGTGAATTTGAGGAATCAAATTCCAGATATGCTACTTCCAGCTTGATGATATTGGTCAAACATGTATGTTATATTTCCCGCTGTTTTGACAACTGGAAAATGGAATGCATTAGTTATTTTTTTAGTCGCTGTGACTAAAAACCTGATAAAATAACTTTAGAGGTTTTTCTGCCTTTAAAGGCAGAGAGGTTTCTCTGCCATTTAAGGAGACAGCACATCTTTGTGTGGTGGCAGGAAGCTGTTTGCTCATATCTCAGCAGATCAGTTAGCAGAGAAAGGGGCATGCTGTCACTCAATTGCCTTTCTTCTTTCTCTATATGACGAGTCTGGATTCCCAGCACATGAGTCCAGATCCCGAACACATGGAGCTGCACTTTCCAGGCAGGGATTCTCCCTAGGCGAACCCTCTCTGGAATTACTATGGAGAATGCACCCAAACACATGCTTCATCAATGCCATAGATGTTCTTAATCTAATCACAACTAACAATCAAAATTTTCCATCCTATAAAGATATGAAATCTTCTAGGACCATGAGATCCGTTCCCATGCACACAACATGTGGAGTAGTACCTAGGACCTGGTATCACACTATACACTGTGTACTCAGCATGTGGAATAGGACCTCGCATGCACCCCACACACCTACCTCCCGTGTATACATATTGAATAGTACCCGGTATCTACTAAGCATTATTGCACACTCAATTCCCAGGCACACACCATGTATTATGGGATAGTGCCTGACACCAGCGAAGCATTACACGCCCTTCAAGTGTGCTCAGCCTACTGTAGAGGACCTGGCACCTACCAAGCCCCAGACTTGTTTAGCTCCTGCCCATTTTCTCTTTAGCTTGACTAGAGCTACTACACACAGTGAGGTGACTTCAGTTCCAACGTTAGCACTCCACTGACAATGCTTTCTCAGCATCTCCTCATTCCTTTATATGAAAATAAACACTGCCTATTTCCTGAAAACTCCGGCAAAGACCCAGTCTGAGGCCACCTGGGTGGCTGTAGACCAGGGGTGGTAAATTGCTCTGGTAGAGAGCATATGGCGGTTATTTTAGGCTTTGAAGATGTATGTCCTCTGTCAGAATGACTCAGTTCTGCTCCTCTGGCCAGCCACAGTAAGATGTGCCATAGAATGGAGATGGATGATACTGCACCAACCACATTGTTTATAAAAATCAAGCAACGTCACCTAGCAGTCGGGTTGGAAAGGTCTTGAGAACACATATCAAATGCTGCCATATCTGTGTTTCCCACTGAATGACCCTAATGCTTTGTTGAAAATGGAACA